TTTACAAACCTTTACGTACCCATATTATCTTCTACTTAGGGGTAACCTCATAGAGAGCGCGCGACACTAGGTCCCTATGTTACAAATGTATTATCTTTTCAATTTACACACGGCATCTATTGCACGTCTGTCCGTCCTGGGAGAGGGATCCCTCCTCCCATTTTTCCCTTTAAACTGTGGGGTTTTCTCCGGAAGTTTTTCCTTGTACGATGTGAGGGTCTAAGGACAGAGGGTGTCGTATTGTCATACTGATATTCTCTAGAAACTGTGAAGTCCATTGAGACAAATGTAACATTTGTGATATTGGGCTATATAAATAAACATTGATTGATTGATTAACTAGTTACTTTTTTGAGAGCAGTAACTATAACTATTACTAGTTACTTTTTAAAAGTAACTTGCCCAACACTGGTCAGGAGCGACAACAGCACTACAGGAGCATACATCAACAGGCAGGGTGGAGTCCGCTCCGCCGCCTTGTTGACCGCAGCGGAGAAACTGTGGTTATGGGCTTGGAGCGACGATCCGCTCTTGGGGGTGGACGCGTTCACACACGAGCCATGGCCAAGCTGCGCTCCGCCTTTCCACCGCTGTGTCTCATTCTCCCTCTCCTGGGGAGAGTGAGACGAGAACGTCTGTCAGTCATCCTAGTGGCTTCCGATGACACAGATGAAGGTGGACCAGCCCTGGGCGATTCCCCAGTTCTGGGGGTCGATGTCTCAAGAGGCAGGTGCAATCGGGGCGTTACCCACTCTGGGCCGACCTCTCCAGGCCTGGCTCCTGAGAGGGACAGGCTGAGACAGGGTGGATTGTCTGAGAGAGTTATTCAGTCTATCCAGGCAGTTAGAGCGGGATCCACCACAGCCACAGGGATCACAGGGATTCCAGCGATGGTGTGAGGATCGGAGAATAGAGCTCCTATCTTGTGAGTTGGGCTCTATGTTGTCCTACTTGCAGTTACTGATGGACAGAGGGCTGGCTCATTCCACAGTGAAAGTGTAAGCAGCAGCCATTTCGTCCTGCCATGAGGGATTTGGCCAACCCGGTATCACTGCAAGACGTGAACATGTGGCGATTTACCATGCTGGGAGATGTGAAGATGTCAGGATTTTGTCCCTTCAAACGTGACAGTTACACGGTATTGTTAACCCATGTTAACCATTGGAGAAATAACCGGAAATGCCAAGCAAATGCTACCCCGACGTAATAATTTATTTTTTAATAGTCACACTCGATTACGCCGATTTTCTTGTTGCCCCAGCTGGTCGACACCTCTTTTAGCAGAAACAAAGGCTACATTAATGTATTAAATCGATGTTAATCCATGCGTGTGGATGTGGAATTAACGGACGTGACTTTATGCGATTGAGTTGCCAGGCAACAGCTTCGGTTCATGTTAATTTACAAACTCTTCAACTACAACCGTAGTTATATTTAAAAACATGTTAGAAGGCCTCACGAAATACTTTAATGCAAATTCAATTGTAAATGTGAAGGAATGTGTGTATAACAAAATTGTATTTACACCATAACGGTGCAGAGCTCATAGAAAGGGACACCTGGTGGTTGAAGAACGTTATTGAATTGTATTATTAGATATTAATAGGATCCCTATAAAGTATATTCATTACTCGTTATTCTCTACTAATAGTTAATTAAAGACTGTATATAATGACTAGTTGATCCACGTCACAATCAGAGACTTCATCATACACTGTGCTTGGCAACCTTTTTTCACTTCAAACAAGGTGAAAACACCACAAGCTACCCATGAGTCAAAGTATAGAAACACCAGAAAAAGTTCCTGTTCATATTTTTACCCACGTATACCAATGCTTGTAGTATAGTAATGCAAAATATCACAATAATGAATATATTTCCAACAAAGGAAGCCACACAAACATGGATCAGCAAAGCTTGCCTTAATCCTCAGGGGACAAATTAGCCAACATATAAAAGCTAATTTAGAAGCTAATTATTTCATGTAACTCACTACTATACAGAGCGGCAGGGGACGATTCAAGACAATGCAACCTCCAAGGAAAAAAAAGAAACATGTCCTGGAGACACTTAATTAAGGCACATGTGAAGGAAATTCATCAATCTCTTAAAAAAGCATCTTACTCTGAATAATTAGTCAGGTCTTATCTTGTGCAGTAATTGGCTTGTTATAGCCAATGGGGACATGCTTGCTACATTATTTAGACAGATTTGTAACCTTAGTAAAAACAGCTGCGGTGAATTGGATTGTTTTATTTATTTTTATATTCAGTATCATAGTGCACCTTGACTAATCTAAACATCATGGAATAGAAGTTGTCTGGATAACTATCAGGATGAAGTAGTGAGCAGAATGAAATCAGGCGGTCCCTTACTGATGCATTTATTTATGAACATCAATTAAATACCAGCGTCAGTATAATCAGCTAAGCTGGAACACAGCCAAGGATGCAGTGCAGTACTCTATTCCCCACCACCCGACAATGCAATGACATCTCATCAACATGCACATGCACGTTTCTGCACGAACATGTTGAATATCTGCACTCGAGAAAAATAACCTAATAATTTCACACAAAGTGAAATCACTAAATCCTTATACACTGAAATCCTTGTTATACTTCTGCTTACCTGCTTACCAAGAGTAAAACAACACACATTTTCCATTCCCCAACCAAACAATCACTGATTCAAACCATTCTAAAAATGCTGTGTGACCATGGACTTGGTGATAACGACGCTAATTGCATTGAAGCTTCAAAGTCACAATACATCTTCTTAATATGTTTGGGGTATACAGATAAAATTATGTCCTTTTTTAGACATGGTGTAAGCTGTAAACCTTGAAATAAAAGTGATTGTAAAAAAGGGTTCAGTTAGCCAATACAACTAAATTGAAGTCTGACAACTCTGGCATTAATAGAGAGGCTTTGAGATGAGATCAATTTCAAGGTAATTTTCACAGTATGGCATGGAATGGAGCATGCCAAATTCATCTTGTTAACTTGTTCTCATGTGAACACTTGTTTAATCCTGAACATTCTGCTACACCTCCTCCCTGCCTTATGGACCGCAAGTCCCTTAAGCAATTTGCAGATATGAATACTGACAGTGCTCTGGGCAGCTGGGTGGTGTAGCACGTTGAAACCCCGCCCATAAGTTAGAGCCTGGGGCTTCCTCATCCCCAAGTCAGTAAATATATACCCTGTTGATAAGTCCTTGAGCAAGACACAACACATCTACCAGCTGCAAGAGTGCCTCTCTGTCTGCCCTGCATTCTGTTTTCCTTGTTTAAGCGAATAACATCAAGGTCTTTCATATTTCTTAGGAAACGGAGCACTGCTGCTTTTTATCTTCCAATGAAGAGCAATTTAACACTTGACCCACCACATGTACTGTCTGTCATTAACATTGAACAACAATTTCACAGGTAGTCCCTTGTTATTGTCATGTGAGGTCGAATGTAAAAAGAGGTCATCATTTGTGAAAAATCTCTTTTTAAGTCTCCTCCCTTAGTTGTAATTTCTGCTGCAGTTTGTGTATGAATGACCGGATGTGGACCAGTTCAATGGGTTATAGACTTCAGACTTCCATAATGTTTTCCTGTGCTTACTGTAACCTCATGTGATCAGACATTATTGAAACTGTTTTAAACCAGATATAGAATGGAAGCCAAGTGCATTACATTAGGCATTTTGCTAATAACATCCGTAATACTTAAGTTATAACACCGGTTCAGTCAGACAACTCACGTGTTTCTTTAACATGTTTATTAGAAGCAGCATATAGTTGAGTCTGGCGTCTAGGCTCGGGCCTCATCACTCCACAGATACAGTATACATAGCACGATGAGTGATGATTAAATAACTAACCCCCGAGCCTACAGGTGGAAGCTGGGGTGGAAGCTGGGGTGATGGTGGGGCAGGCAAGCAGCAGCGAGGTGGAAGTAGCTGCAGCAATAGCAGCAGCAAGCAATGCATAGAGAGAAATCTTGCAGGTTAAATAGAGCGGCATATTAAGGAGACTCTGTTTGGTTGGTTGTAGAGTGGCAAGGGGCGTTATGTATGAATGCAGCATAAGTGCTCGAGATGACTGCCTGAACTAGCTCGCAGGCTTCGCCCCATTTGGTAAAAAATGTATACATTATATATATATTTCTATTAATCATTTTCGGCCAACTGTTTCCTATTTTGGGTATCGGTTTCGGCCGGGAATTTCCCATTCGGTGCACCCCTAATATACAACTAGGGATGTCCCGATCACCTTTTTTTGCTCCCGATCCGATTCCGATCATTTGATTTTGACA